TAGGCCCAGTGTGCCAATTCCTAGCTATAACACTTAGACTCAGTAGTTTGGTACAACTCACTTCTCCCGCATGGCCCTCAGGTTTTCATCTGGAAAAATGAGAGGTTGGTCTAGATCAGTATTTTTTAATGCTTTCTCCTCTGAGATCCTTTATTAAAATATCAATTAACTCTACAGTTTCCCACAGGGGAGAATTCTTTTAAGTACCTGTTAAAACAAAACAAACAAAACCAAAAATGTTTAATGATTTCAGAAATGCTTATTAAAATAATCAATTTTATTTTGCAAATAACAGCTATATCCATTTTTTAAATCACTGATTCATTTAATAAAGTACTGCATACATATATATTGAAGAAAACTGAAAGATTTTTTTCTCCTTTGTGAGAGAGGCATTTTGGCTCCATATGTGAAATTTAGAGGGTTTTATTTACAACTCCTCGAACTCTATAGGACTGCCTGTCTACCACCGTGAAGATCATGCCCATGCACTACAGGGCATTTTTTATTGTGAAAGTACCCTCCCCTCAATAAGTGGCACACAGCATATAAACTGTTGTTTTTGTTTTGTTTTTAAATATGTTCTTCCCAGCTGTCAGTTGTGTGATGTTGCTCTGCAGTTAAGTAAAAAAATTAAGCTTGTACTCAAATAAAAATCAAAACCACAAAATAGTATTTTAGAAATGTTTTTACCAAAATTTTACCCTTAATAATGATTGACCTCCAAGGCCAGAAGGAAGAGCATGGAATTACTTGGTTTTTTTTTTTTACTTTCTATGTTATATCTATCTGTGTTGGATGAAGTCTATTTATAATGTGCACCTATGAGAAAATAAACATTAGAAAAGAAAGTTTTTATAAATTTAATACTGGCATTATACGAGTATGTGATACCCAGGGTTAAAAGGCATTATCGCTGCCCTTTAAGGCTTCTACTCTGAGAAGGACTATGAAATAATTATGCCAAAGATAGGAATCGTGAACCAACAGGGAGCATCCATTAATGCACTGACTCATTCATTCACACATTCAACCATTTGCTGAACATTTGCTGGCTAAGTAAAAAACCTGCCGCCAAATGAGGGTAAAAAAGAGGTAAGACACAAACCTCCAACTCAAGGAGATTCAGTCATGGTCTGATTAAAAACCAACCACCAAAAAAAAAATCTGTGGAATTCTGAAGAAAAGAAAAAGGGAGTTTGCCCTGGAGACAGATAATGTACATCTCACAGACCACCATCACATTAGATGCCTAGGGTGCATGTGATATGCTTTAGATCCTCATGGGCTACTTGGTTATCTTATTGCAGCAGACTTAATATGGTATCTTTCCGCTTAAAGTTCTGGGTTTTATAGAATTATAGAATTCATTCAACATAGATAGGTACAACATAGAAAGTAAAATTTAATTTATCCTATTGTGTCACTGGGGTTTCCTGGACCTAAAATGAATTAGTGCTTTCTAGTTTATTTCTGAAAATGTATTAACCTTTGTCTCTCACTAAAGAAAAAGGATTTGCTCTCAGAATAGCTAGCTCTACCTTTACTTCAAGAAATAAGTCACTACTAACTGAACCGATTTCAGATGCTAAGTGTGTGCATGAGCGCGCGCGCACACACACTCTTAACTTAGGAGTTGGTGGAATCTTCCATCTGAAGAACTGTAAGAATACCAAATACATAATAAAATTCATTACTGCTGTGAGGAAAGAAAAACGAAGGTTGGCACTGGGAGAAGATGAGAGAATTGAAATATAGCTGCTAGATGGCTAAAAGTGGAGGAAATTGCAGGAGTTAAAGTTTTAAAAGGTCTAGGTATGGCTTTAATGGGCAGGCTAATGCTCTGAAACCAAAAGTTTAAGAAAATGGGAAACCACAGTTAGATGGGGGAATAGGCAAGGTTACAGTGATAAGAGAGCAATTCAAATTAAGTAGTGATGTGGGAATCTGACTGCAGAGAACAAAAAGAACAAGTGGGGAGTAGGGATAGTTGTTTCAGAAAGAAAACTCAGCATGAAGCTAAAATTAACCAAAAACCTAACTTTGTTAACTGATGAAGTGCTCATTTTTAGAAAAAATATATTCCGAGCTCTGATCTAAACTAAGAAGCTTTCAGAATATTGTTGGAACCTGACTATATCTTTGTCTAACATTCACATATTGCATGATGCATTTGCGTTATACATAATATATGTATTAAAAATGGCTAGAAATTATTTCAAATCTTGTTGCATGGAACCGCAAATATTTCGGAAGAAATAAAGTATTTTTCCTAAACACTGGCAAAAGTATTTCCATTACAAAAAGTATGCAGATGTTCCAAACATGCTTTTTAAGCCAGAAATAATGTGTGTTAACATTTAGACTTAATTCTTTTCACCTACATATGAACTTAAATGTGTCCCTTTGTGTCTTTTTTCAGGAGATTCCCTAGATAAAAATACTGCCCTAGTTTGTTTTTTTAGAGGTCTGTCCAAATGATGAATATCTTTGAGCGCCTTAAAACTAAGTAAGCCAGCACTGATTTTAACCTAGAAAAGACATTTTTCAAATTCCCTTTCCCTGATGTCAGCTGCTACCCATGACCTCTGATGAAATGTTCACAAAAAAAGGTTACAGGGCGCCCCACCCGCCCCACCCCCACCTAAAGAAAACTCAGTGGGAAGGGGTAGAAACCCACTGCATTATTATTCTCAATCTCCATTGTAATCTACCCCATGATCCCAAATTGTAATTGTAGATAAACCTACCATAAAGGTTTAGGTGGAAAAAGAAAAGTGGAGGAGTTCGATTTTTTTAAATGGGGTTTAAAAATCTGCCAGAATTACTACTGAACTTCCTTTCCAAACTGAGTTGGAGTTTCAGTGTTAAGAACAGTCTGGAATGTTTGTGTGTTTTACCAGTCATGGGCACCAGCTTTATTCTCCTTAATTTGGGTCCAAAGACATCGTTAGGGAGTAACTGGGTCATAATTACGAGTTATATTAGAGAAAGATACACTTGATTAGACTTGAATCCTTCCCAGATCAAAAACTACATCACCATTAGGATGTTGGTAGTATAATGTATCATTTCCTTTGATGATCTTTGAACCAGAAAAGTCAGATTCTTACAAAGACCATGATCTTCTCAACAATTTCTGACCATCTTCAAAACCAATCAATATTGAATTCTAACTTAATGAAAGAGTCACACTAAATTTCCTTACCACTTTATCATATTACGTAAACTGGGTTGCCAAATACCACATGTGAAGTGAAAGGCAATTTGAATGTGTGAAAACCCCACAGTTTAGCAATAGAAAAATCTTGTATTTTTAGATGGAAAGTGTTGAAGCCCTTGAGAACAAACATACTAAAATAAATCATTCATGTCTTGGTTAGAAACCAGAAAATCTAAGAGTAATACAAATGTATACACATAAAGTATGTTTCAAGTTTGTTCCAGGTCACTGACATGTAGAGGGAGCTGGACAAAATCACAACACTATATGACTAACACTTTATATGTTAAGGTTGTGTATGAACTCCAATTCTCATTCTAGTCATCACCCATCCTCAAGGAAGCACCACACACTACACAAGGGTCACTTAACCTTAAAGCAGAGATCTCTCTCTCTCTCTCTCACTCCCCCCCTCCCCAAAGACAAGCAGAAAATCTCAAAAACTAGGACTTCCAGAGTGCAGATTTGCCTTTCCTATCTATCACTCAGGCTCCCTAGTCTTAACAGTGCTGTGAAAACTACATTTACATGTGAATGCCATAATCTTCACCAAAGCCAGGCTGGGAACTGAAAGGTTGAAAACTACTACTGTTAAGATTTCAGGCCTAAACTCTTAATATCCTTCAGGAACAAAAGGACATGCCCAGGCCCAGCCCCATTAAAATTTCCACATAAAATCAGTGACTTTGTGTGCTAATATTTCGATCTCTGGGAAAGAAAGTAGTCAGGCTTCCTTGGGATTTGGGGGTTGACCTGAGCATCCACAAGACCATTTGAGTCAAATCAAGTCAGAAAAAAAAAAAAAAACAAAAAAAACCACGCAGTTTCAAGACAGCAAAGATTCTTATTTTCAATTCCACATTCCCAAGACACCTCAGGCCACAATATTCAGTTGAAATAAACGACAGCCACGATAAGGACAACCTTTGCAAACCTGGATAGTACGCTGGGACTTCTATGCCTTCTAGGACCAAAGAATATCTAAAGACAACTTAAGGTTAAGGTGATCCAGCACCCAAGATCTCAATAAAGCATGCGAGGTCTTGGGGGAGCCCATGAAAACGGGAAGAGAAGTCAAAAGGCTCTTTGCTGGTAAGCCAAGCCAGACCAGTACTAATCAAGCTTTATTTTCCCGGACATCAGTATAGGGAGCCATTAAAAAAACACACACACAAAAAAACACACATCAAGGTCATCGAGTCAGTCCCCTGCTCCCCCTCGCTCGGTGCTTTCTGTAAGAAAATGCTTAGAGCAGCTTCCCGTCCACCCGCCGCGCTGGGCAGTGCCCAACGCTAAACTTTTAAACCTTGGGGAAGGTGGGAAAGGCAGCCAGCCAGACGCTGGGCTGGGGAAAGGAGCGAGAAGGAGGGAAAGAGTCAAGTTTCAAAACAAAGGCAGGCTCCACAAGGCACGGAGTGTCCACCCCTCCCCACTCCCGAGCCTTCAAGCCAGCGAGGCCGGGCCTGGATTTTCAGGAACCCCGACGAGTCCGCCCGACCCGGCGCCCCGCGCTCGCGGAGGGCTCCGGTCTTCACCCCGCACCGCCGCACAACCACTTGATGAGGGCGGCGCTGCCCTCTCCCCGCCATCTGCCCACACAGGAAAACACTGAAGCTTAGACCCTGGGTGACCTGCCCAAGGTCCCACCGTGGAGCCCTCCGGGCCAGGGCAGGGCCGGCGCAGGGTGGGCGCCCCCCGGGGGCCGCCGCCCCTGCCGGGAGGGGACGCGAGCCGGGAGAGGGGAGGGCCCCGCGCGCGCCTCACGCCCCGGCCCTACCTTCCTTCACTCCCGGCAGCTTGGACTGGTCGATGCTGACTTCGGCCATGTTGGGCCGGGGTCCCGGCTGCCCCTCGCCGCCTGCTTCCCGGCCGCCGCCGGCCCCGAACGCGGCCCCGCGCGCGGCAGCCGCAGCCGCAGCCGCAGCAGCGCCCGACGCGGCGCAAAGTCCACCCGGCAGCGCGCGGGGGCCCGGAGGAGGGAGCGGGCCGCTGCGCAGGGACCGGCGACAAATGCAACGGGAGACTGGCCCCGGCGCACCAGGCTGACGGCCCCGCTGCCCCGCCGCAGCCACCTGCTCCCGCGCCCCCGGGCCTGATCGATACCGAACACCCGGAGCCCGGAAATGGTCTCGGGCCGTCCAGTACGGAGGGAGAGAGGAGACAGAAAGGCGGAACACGCTCTATGACCCCTGCCCTGAAATATAATTATCACACCTCAGCGAACCTTGAAAACCTGTCCCTATCATTTCCTTCCCAGATCAAAAACTACATCACCATTAGG